GTTGCCAATTATTTATCACTCCAACAGGAGGTCGGTTCGAATATGGCAAAAAAATTAAAGCAATGCTTTGGAGACTTTCACAGACCATAAAAGCCCATGCATATCTAATACATATCACTGGAAGTTTCTCTGTTCGTCTGTTCGATTCAAATCAATATCGGCCACTCTATAATATTATATGTCCAAGGATGGCCATTACATGTAACCTTGGATACATTGGAACATGGGCACATTGGATTTGACCTCCGAGGTCATCTGAAATCGCAAAACGAAAAAATAATGAAAAAATCATGCCCCTGCAGCAGCGTTCAATCAACGCACCTCTGTAGCAGCGGCAAATAAACCGGCCCACATGCAGACGGGATTCACTTTGCACTGACCTGCATGACTGTACAATGCGCGTAACATTGAGTTACAATACATGGATTATTTTACATGCGCCATGTCATTGTCGTAACGACATTCACCTTGCACCGACTTGATACAGAGTGTGCAAGACTATAGCACTATAGATTATAGAGTGGGATAGATAGATAGATAGATAGATAGGTAGATAGAGCTCAGGATATAGATTAGATAGAATGGAAGATGATGATAGATAAGATAGATAGATAGAGTAGATAGATAGATAGATAGATAGATAGCATAGATAGATAGATAAGATAGATAGACTAGATAGACAGACAGACAGACAGACCGACAGACAGACAGAACAGACAGACAGACAGACAGACAAGACAGACAGACAAGACAGACAGACAGACAGACAGACAGACAGACAGACAGACAGACAGACAGACGACAGACAGACAGACAGACAGACAGACAGACAGACAGACAGACAGACAGACAGAACAGCAGACAGACAGACAGACAGACAGACAGACAGACAGACAGACAGACAGACAGACAGAGCAGACAGACAGACAGACAGAACAGACGACAGACAGACAGACAGACAGACAGACAGACAGACAGACAGACAGACAGACAGACAGACAGACAACAGACAGACAGACAGACAGACAGACAGACAGACAGACAGACAGACAGACAGACGAAGACAGACAGACAGCCAGACAGACAGACAGACAGACAGACAGAAACACGACAGACAGACAGACAGACAGACAGACAGACAGACAGACAGAACAGACAGACCAGACAGACAGACAGACAGACAGACAGACAGACAGACAGACAGACAGACAGACAGACAGACAGACAGACAGACAGCCACAGACAGACAGACAGACAGACAGACAGACAGACAGACAGACAGACAGACAGACAGACAGACAGAACGACAGACAGACAGACAGACAGACAGACAGACAGACAGACAGACAGACAGACAGACAGACAGACAGACAGACAGACAGACAGACAGACAGACAGACAGACAGACAGACAGACAGACAGACAGACAGACAGACAGCAGACGAGACAGACAGACAGACAGACAACAGACAGACGACAGACGACAGACAGACAGACAGACAGCAGACAGACGACAGAGACAACAGACAGACAGACAGACAGACAGACAGACAGACAGACAGACAGACAGACAGACAGACGACAGACAGACAGACAGACAGACAGACAGACACAGACAGACAGCAGACAGATATGATGATAGATAGAGTAGATAGATAGATAGATAGATCAGATAGATAGATAGATAGGATAGACTAGATAGATTAGATAGATAGGATAGATAGATAGATAGATAGATAGATAGATAGATTAGATAGATAGATAGATAGAAGATAGATAGATAGATAGATAGATAGATAGAGTGAGATAGATAGATAGATAGATAGATAGATAGATAGATAGATAGATAGATAGATAGATAGATAGATAGATAGATAGATAGAATAGATAGATAGATAGATAGATAGATAGATAGATAAGATAGATAGATAGATATTAGAATAGATAGAATAGATAGATAGATGATAGATAGATAGATAGATAATAGCATAGATAGATAGATAGATAGATAGATAGATAGAAGATAGATTTGTTGGTATTTTTCTTTCAACCAAGTGGTCACCAACTGAGCGCTTTATTTCCCGGGCAACGCCGGGTGTCTTGCTAGTATATATATACTGCATAGCTATAACATTGAATTTCAAGATTAGCGCGTGTGTGTGTTTGTGTGCGCGCGTGCGTGAGTACGTGCGTGCGGCGAGTTGTAATTGTGTGTGTCTATGTTAGGGAGTGTATCTGTATTTATGTGTGTGTGTGTGTGTGTGTGTGTGTGTGTGTGTGTGTGTGTGTGTGTGTGTGTGTGTGTGTGGTGTGGTGTGTGTTGTGTGTGTGTGTGTGTGGTGTGTGTGTTCGCGCGCGGACCTTCGCTTGTGGGGTGGGGGGTACGTGCGTGCGTGTGTGTATGCGTGTGTGTATGCTGTGTGTGCATATATGCATGTGTTAAAACGGCTTGTTCTCGCAGCAAAATGCACAGATATACCTGCACAGATATATGTGTAAAAATTCACTACAACTCATTTGTATTGCTACTTTCATAACATTTCTTCAGCAAAGCTAAACAGCCTTACGAAACTAGTTCTTTCAATGTTTACACGGTGTTTACACATCCGAAACATAGCCGAGCGATCGCAGTTTTCATTAACAACCTTTTCTATGATAGAACAAGACAATTAATTATTCGATGTTTGTTCAGTAGAAAATTGTAAAATTTGTTTAAATCACATGTTATCTACATTACTTCAGCAATCAGCAAATAAATATAGTGTTTTCTTTCCACGAATTATTTGCGCTAGCGTAGGCCTACTGTTGGCGATCTCAGTCACGTCGCTCTATGTGTACGCTCTATGTGTACGCTCTACCTGTACGCCGAAACTCCATCCGACGGAGTTTCAAAATAGCATAAACATGGTTAACTTCGATGCACATTTCTGGCTCAATAAAAACATTTCGTGATGTTTGCATACTGCAAGTATGCTCACAGTAGGTGTATGTAGGCTTTTTGTTGCAAAGTTTATCCATTTTAAGCTGGGTTTATCGAAAAGTCGACGAGTTGATCAAACTTTCAACGGTCAATCAACTTTTCAATCAAATGTTTAGTTTTCTACGTTATCGACCGCAAGTCGGCAAACGTTTCAACGTTTGACCAGCAGTGTGCGTGCGAGGCAACCTGAATACGCATTTTTGCGCGTATTAATTCGCGCCAGATGCCGATAGCAAGCGCGCGCGGGAAATAATCTTCCCCATGGGTGGAGCGATACATCTCCTGATTGCTGTTATCAGAGTGGCTGCATGGCAAAAATTGACCAACTCGCTGACCAAAAGTGAGAAAATAGAACATGTTCTCTTTTCTCAACTAGTTGATTTCAACTAATTGAGCGCTAAACTTTTAAGTTTACACTGCCGACTTTCGGTCGATTAGTTGAAAAGTTGATCAAAGCTTTTCAACAGAAAGTGAATAGTGTAAACCCAGCTTTAGTATATAGAAAGTGAGTGGGATATAAAAAGCGCATGGTCACTACAAACGATATATATATATATATATATATATATTATATATATATAGTATCGTATCCACCGTCACTGGTGAAGAATGAGAAATTTGGGGGTCGTTTAACGAAACGAAACTTCTCCTTAATCATGGTACCTCTTGTTTACACGATACGTTAAACAATAAACTGCGGTACACATGCATGATTGAGTGAATGATGCATGTCCGTGTGTCGAAGTGTTAATCATAACTGTTTTCACCTTAATTATTCTACCCTCTAATTGTCTCAAAGTTTGCACGACATTATTGCAGCACTTTCAAAACTGCATTACACCAAAAAAACCGTTGATTACGATGATAAAATCCCATGTTAGCAATCCTCTTACTTGTCATTCAACAGCGTGTTTTTCTCGGAGACGATGCATGGGTGGGCGCAGATGGTGATCTTCAAGATTATGCCCACGTCTAGATGTAGTGGGCGCCCTGACACTGTCAATCTCGTTCGGCATATTCCCGGTATTCTTCAGCATGCTGTCACGCAGTAGCAACGACAAGAGGACCACAAGAGCCTTCGTACTAGATATTGCCGCTATCTTCTTACAGATTGTGGGGATCTGCTACCTTACAGTACTTCACATCGTAGGAATGGTGGGCTCACGGCTATTAATACTAATATATTTATAATTATGGTATTACACTCCGACGTCTTATAACATTAGACCTGCAGACTATCAAGAGTATATTAAGACTTGCCTTAAACTTAATACATAATATACGCTTCATAATATCATTGGCGTATTAGAGACATTGGGGAATATTGGCATATTATTATGCACTTCTACTAGTATCGCATACATTATTTTAACTTGTCCGTGGCCAAACTAGTAAAGTTTTGGCCGTTAACGAAGTCACGAAATCATTCTTTATTTTATTTTAATGACCACTTTACACAGTTCTGCTCTAGTAAACAATGTAATGTTGCAGCCTGCACAGACTGAGTTGGCAAGATACGACATCTGGATGATTCCACTTGCCACGCTATGCATCTCGCTGTCTTACTGGGAAAATTACATCAGTGAGAAATCTTCTACGAGTGCATCGCCTCTTGGGGCGAACATTAAGGAAGAGGTCAGGAAACTGCGGCCCAAGATCTCGTGTTCGTCACAATGTGGAAGATGCTGCCTGCTGATGCGTTGATGGTGTTGTTGACGATGGATGTCGTTCCCGTGCAATCGCTGCTTCATGCCAACACATCGCCAATCCAGAGCCGTACGTGGTGATCTTTAATAACGGCACTTTGGCGCAGGAACTGACCGATGACCACGACGCGATCAACGTGTTTCTGATCGGCGCAGTTCAGCGCCTGGATGTGCTTCATCGGCAGCGCAAGTACGCCTGCAAGCTGCTAATCCAGCGCTACAGCTTCGCGACGCCGCTCGTGCTCGCACTGCCCGCCTGCTTCATTCTACTCGTCATCCTCAGCTTCGTAGCAAACCAGCAAAACGACTGCTTCATGAAAGAGATCATGCCCGGCTACCTGGACTGGAATTGGGCCGAGGTGCGATTTGACGGTCTCGCGCCGGTGGACAAACTCACGGTGGGGATCGAGCTGCTTGTCTGCATTGCGCTGATTGCCTCCCACATAAGGATCACATCGCATATTTGGTTTCCGGCATGTGAACGTCTCGCCAAGACAATCAAGTATGAACGGCTAATTTATTTGTGTTCTTGTTTACGCATTGGCACAATGATTTTCTTGCTCATGTATTTAGGCACTGGATTTCGTATGCACTGAATGCACAGAGCGTAATAAAAGGTGGTGAAAACAGTCCATGTACACAGGGCACCAGACTTCATTGACCCAGAAGATATCACAGACGATTGATTTTTATAAGATCATGCAGCCATTTTGACACTATACAAACCATTACATTTGAGCAACCCTGACGCGTTTTATTCAGATTATTATTTTGATTCCAAATAAACGGTATAACCTTCGGATGTTATTGCACACAACTTTGTTTTTAAAACTAATTGTTCATACGTGAGTTATATTAAAAATGTCCTTTAAGATTTCCCTACACTAAGCATAGTAAACTCAATTTCAATTACCTACCTTGACACTCGCGTACCACCTCATGTAATATAGTTTTCTTTTAAAGATCTTATCGCAATATTCCATAGCATAATATTACATAAGATTGATTTTTATAGGGCATACCTGAGTCTATTTAATCTGTCTAACTTAACAATATGGCGCCTTGTGTTAGACTGTTTCAGAAGCCGAGTCATTGTAGCGTGCTGGCGGACGTCGACCTGGCTCTTAACCGTCGACGCGACGATGGAATACTAGTGAAGGTAAAACTCCACCCAGGCTCAGCCTATTCATGCGCACATATATTCGCACTATATAGACGTACACTGCTGAAACGTTTTTCTTTACTAGGAAAACAATATCTGAAATCAAGAATGAAGCATCATTTTTGTTTTTTGTTTTACTTATTATTTATTAAGTTTTCGTTTATATTTAAAAACTGTGCCGTTTCAAAATCCAGATATATTCATTGTTTTTCAAGATTCAATTTTTGTTCACTCCCAAGATACATAATATGAGTAAGCATAGATCATAGGGCCAAAATGCAGCCTATTATTCTTTATATCAGAATTTATTTCCTATTTCGCCGACTTTTTTCTTCCAAGCAAGTGATTTTCAACAGTGTACATGCAGGTAATCGCCTACGCGCGGGCATGTATACGCATACAAACGCATGTATACACGAAATGAGACATTAAAATATCCGGAATCATTTATATCGACGTCTTACTAGTCAAACATTAAATATAATGCAAATCAAGCCAGAGCATTCTACTTCTCGTTATTAATGAAGGCGGTCAAGATCCCGAACGATGGTAATAGCGACGATCTTGAGAACGCTATTCCTAACGAGAATCAAGCTTCAGACGAGCACCTATACTACGTGCGCCCGGAAGACGGCGATGCACCGGGCCAAGCTAACGTACAGGAAGACGGGGTCCCGGTCAACAACAGCTACTATTCGTCTGGGATCGATAGCGATAAGTCGACTATTCCGAAAGTGTACTTCTGCGCGACGATGTGGCACGAATCGACAAACGAGATTAAGCAGATACTCAAGTCTATACTCAGGTGCGTGTGCGCGTGCGCGTGGATGAACCTATTGGTGTGCGTTCGTGCGTGAGTTGATCACGTCTACATGCGTATATATGTAGCGCGAATCATGCGCACATGTATGCATGAGGTATATGCTGCAATCTGGGCTCGTTGTCAGAAACAAAACTAGTATAGTCTAAACTTTTTATAGTATTTACTTTTTCACATAGAACGTTGACAGAAACATGGAAACGTTACGATTGTTCTCATATGCAGTGTATAGAGCTCCGGTCGAAGAGAAAAATTTGGTATTAAGGCGAATGTCAAGACTTCTCTTAAGACTAATTATGTTTCTAGCAAAGAGTCTCTTGGCACGTTTGGAGAGGTCTGCCTGCGACGTTTGTGTGCATTCATGTGCTCACACGTGTATATGATTTCTCTTTTGGGTGCGTGTGTGCATGTGCGTGTAAGTGCGCGCGTGCGTCTACCTGCGTGTGTTTAGCATCGGTTAGCTCCAAAAAACGATAATACACCCACATGATAATACATGGAATGTATATAGACGTTGAGATTCACAGCCACTTCGGGCTAGTCGCACATAGGCGCGTATGTGCGAGGTGCAGGAGCGACGATGTAGGTTCACAAACTATTATTCCACTAACATTCCATTTACTTGTGATCATTATCTACTGAGATAATTACCTCTGCACATATCTATACTCCAATAAGGGGCTTCCGATTACACGAACTATATTATATCGTTCCTGTAACACGTGTGAATAATTAATTGCCGAGAGATCTACATGCATTAGTTCATAGTTACAGTGACATTCATCGCATTTTGTCCCCATGCGGCTATGACACATTACGGCGTACTGGTTCTGTTCGGCAGAAGTGATCAAGACCAAAATGCAAGACGCTGTGCGATCAAGTACCTTGATGTCGTTGACAAAGATTACTATGAGTTTGAAGGTGAGGTACAGACCTGCGCGAACCACTCAACATCGTCCCTAAAACATAATAATAATAGTTATTATTATAATAAATAATAATAATAATAATAATAATAATGACACATCCTGCGCAAAATTCTGCAGTGAATCCCATATGGCTCCCAAATCTAGGACACGGTCCCGTCCGCAACCTAGAAGCACGGGTACGTGCCAGCGACAGGTCTGCTACCTCACCTGATTTCAAATCTCATAGTAAATCTTGTGTTCAACGACCATCAAGTCTTTGATCGCCACGGCCCATCGTGATCCACTTTGGGAAATAATAAATAATAATAATACTGTCAATACGTATACTATACGTATACATACTATACTATCTCGTTATACTTTGCATTTTTTCGGTCTTGATTATTTTCTGATACTCCGATAACATTAACTCCCATAAACGGCCCTGATTAAATGCTGATTCATTAGCCTGACTTAATCTATACGGTGACAAATAGACTCGAATGATAATTGTTCCATATACGTATTTACATACATATACTATACTATCTCGTGTATATAACTATGAACTAATGATTAGTGATACGCATCTTCTATGGCCAAATTAATTATTCACACGTTAGTTTACTAAGCAGTCACCTCTGCATAATTACTTATCTACTAGTTCGTGTAATCGGAAGCCCTCCTTATTATGAGCTATAACGTTATAGATATGTGCAGATATACTATTAGTAATTATCTCAGTAGGATATGATCACAATTGAGTGATAACATTATGAGCATGGTTAGTGAATAATAGTTTGTTGAAACCTACATATCGTGTTCGTCATCCACTGCATCTCGATAATACAGCGCCCTTAATACTTGTGCGACTAAGTACGAAGTGTGTCTACGCTGTTGTATACATCTTAACAGTCTATATAACATTCACTTCATTTATTATAGTCTCATGTATTGACTGTCAGTGTAGTTTATCGTTTTTTGGAGCTATATCTTTAAAATAAATACCTGATTTAGGCTATAATCACACGCATGGTAGTAACGTCACGCGTCAGTCACCTATACATACACGCACATGCACACACGCACTCCTACAGATGATCAATATACAACCGTTATACTGAGTGATCTACTATACATGTAATAATCGCACATCAAATTACCGTTCGCATGTGATGACACTCTCCTAAATACTATACGACGCGTTTTTGACCAATTGAGGACCTCTTTGTGCTTAGCAAACAAATTGGTCTTAAGAAGTTATGGTCACTATTTTACTTTCGCCTTATAATGCACCAAATTTTTCTTCTTCGAACCTGAGGTACCAGCTCCTATTCACTGATATTAATACGAGAACAATTCGTAAGTTTCACATGCATTTCTGTCCAACGTTCTTATATTACGTGAAAAAGTATATACTAATAACTTATATATCAAATAATACGTTTTAGAAACGTATCATACTAGTTTGTTTCTGACAACGAGCCCAGATTATTAGCCTATAAGCATTAATACACCTCATGCATATAATACTAACATTGTACGCGCATTGATATTACTCGCGCTATATATTATACCGCATGTAGACGTCTGTAACTAACGCACGCTATCTAGCACTGCTATCTCAGCACCTCGTCGCAGACACGCACGCACTACCGTTAATTATACGCGTTTTATCCATCACGACTCACTGGTCGTATCACACACGGCACCTAGTTAATATCAGACTTTATGAAAGTATCTGTATAATACATCTCGTGTTGTCGATTTCGATGTCACACATTCGATACTCGCGAGAAATACACTTTCGGAATAGTGGATACTCATCGCTATATTCGATCCCAGACGTAATAGTAGCTGCTGTTACGGGACCTCGTCTTTCTTCGTACGTTGCTTGGTATACCCGGTATACTGTACATGCGTCTTCCTGTGACGGCGCACGTAGTATTAGGTGTGTTGACTACCTCGTCTGATAGCTTATATACTATCTCGTTAGGAAATTACATATCACCTATTCATTCAACAGATTCGTATCTCACATATATATCTACCATCGTTCGGGATTCTTGACCGCTATCACTTCATATCATTTAATTAACGTGTACTATTAACTTGATAAATTTGACTCTGGTCTTGAATTGCATTATATTATATATGATTACCTATGAACTAGTTTAAGACAGTGAGCTCGATTTTGAATGATTCCGGATAATTACTTTATGTTCTCTTTGTTATGCTTACATATAGCTATACATTTGCGTTTGTATGCGTGATACTATACGTATTTACTTTAATTTACATGGCCCGAGTCGCTCATATATGTGGCAGATTACCTTGTTCACCTAATACTGTATTATTATCACTAGTGATCTTGAATAAATATTTCAATCTTATCGTACTTACTGGAGAAAAAGTTGGCGAAATAGGAAATAAATTATGATATAAAGAATTAATAGGCCGTGTCTACTTTTGGATCCACCTTATTCGATCTAATTGCTTTATCATATTATGTATCCTTGGGAGTGTAGTACAACAAAAATTGATCTCTATGCAAAACAATTGAATAATAATTCCTGGTAATTTTTTTGAAACGACAGTTTTTATTATTATAATTACTCATTATAATAACCCTGAAAAATATTAATAACTAAATAATATAATGCGTAATACAAAACTAAATAAACAAAATATAACTGTAATACTTCATTTCTTTGATTTTTCCAATAGACTATTATTTACGTTTATTCTTCCATAGTAATAAGAACAAACCGTTATACTTAAGTACTAGATACTTGATATCATCGTCTAATTACTTATTAGTTTTGGCGATATATTGTTGCGCCTATACTATACTATACTATACTATACTATACGTATACATGAATTTTAGGCTGAGCCTATACTATACTATACTATACTATTACTATACTATACTATACTATACCTATACTATACGTATACTGTTATACGTGTGGATGATTTCTCACTATAACTTCGTAACTTCGGTATTCCCCATCGTTATCTGATACTATACTAATACTATTACTATACTATACTATACTATTAGCCGTAGTTCACGACGGTTAAGAGACCATACAGGTCGATATACGTCCGCCAGCACGTACCATAATGACTTCCGGCTTCTTTTAAATAGTACTCTAACACCAAGCGAATTGTTAATTTATTAACGCATTTTAAAACTAGATATCTAGAGATTATCTCCCCTATTAAAATCAATCCTTCAGTACTTGATACAATATTATGCTATGTAATATTGCGATTAAGATCCTTTTTACAAGAAAACTAAATTATTTCTACATTGAGGTGGTTTACCGCCGTATACATATACTCATACTATACTATACTTATACTATACTATACTATACTATAGCTATACTATACTTATCTTCTATACTATACTACTATATATACAGTGTTCAAGATGCTAGGTTAATTAGAAATTGAGTTAAGCTTTAGTTGTAGTGATATCTGGATATAATCTTAAAGTACACTTTATTTAAATACTAATATAACTCACCTGATACTTAATATACAATTTATAGCGTTTTTTTTTACTAAATAATAACCAATAGTATGTATGCTATAGCTATGCCACAATAAATCCCGAAGGTTATACTATTCATCCGTTTATTTTGGAATCATAAAAATAATTTATAATTACTTTGCAATAAAAGCTATTACGTATACTTACATTATATACTTATACTATACTATACGTTATTACTTATACGTATACTGATACTATACTATAACTATACTATTACTATACTTATACATATACATATTACTATACTATTACTATTACTATACATTTACTATACTATACTATACTATACTATACTATACTTATACTATACTATACTATGACTATCTATATATACCGTCAGGTTGCTCAACATAATGTTCATGG